ACTGCCATCAAACATAATCCATTTAAGTGCATGGGTCTACGCCAAAAGCACCCTCCAACTGTTTGCAATGCAATTGGTGACATATCACTTTCCTCACCACCTGTAAAATGCCCTTTGAAAAGCAACTCACATACTGTAGAAATAAATATATATATGTGTGTGTTAATTTTGGGTCTTCGTCTTCTCTATGTTTTGGAACGCAATGTCCATAAACTTTTTCTTAAGCAATGGTTCAGTTTCCTAGCTTAATACACCTCCACTTCTAAACTCAGAATTCCAGTAAACAGGGCAAGAGAACAGATTATCTATTAACACATTTTCGTACAATGTTCATCCTATCAGAAAACAGACAGAAGTCACATGATATAGCTATTGAGCTATAAGAGGAAAAGTTCAGATTCTAAGTGACTATTACAACTAAGCATGGCTAAATTAATGAGGGTGGTGGTGTTACTAGTCCTCTGCGCCTCTGCAGTGTGGTGCGTTAGCGATTATGATGAGGATGATGGGGTAATTAAATAATGTTAAAAGATACTGTATTTATGTTAAAAATAATATTTGATAATGTGTATTGTTATAATCCAAAACAATATTTAATAATCTATCATTTTAATCCTTTTTTTATTTGTTCTCTTGCAGGATGTCCCAGCAAAAAAGGTAATTATATAAGAATTGTTTTACTGCTACTGCTTTTGTGTTTGTTAGCTGAATTATGATAATAGGTGGTCATTTGATTAAAAATGTAACTTTCACTCTAGCTTTTGTTCTCAAACATAGTCAAATAAAGAATTATTCCTTGAAATAATTTGAATAGAATGACAATTAAAATACTACTTTAGTAAATCAACTTAAGTTATATGGAAAATGAAAAAAACTAAAGTGTAACAAGCATATATATATATACATAGATATATATATATATATATATATCTTTTTATATTTAAATAACTTCCTGTCCGCTAATATACATAGTTATCTGTATCTGGGTATTAGAAGGGTAAAAATGACTCTATTAAATCAACTTTAGTTACATGACATGAACCAAACAATCAAGCTAAAGCATAATAATTGACATTTTATATACACACACATATATACACACACACACATATATATATTATATATATATAACTTTTTAATAATATATGTATGTATGTAGTTATTTATTTATTTTATTATTTTATCTGTGAAGAGAAAGTTTTCTGCTCCTTCCTAACCTAAATATAAAAATATAATATATATAATTTGAATTATGTAAATGAGGTAATTTCAAATATTACAAGTATATTTAACCATTTGTATTACACATTAACATTGTGACAACATTCTTCAAAGAAATCAGATCAATCAATCAATCAAATTTCTTTTGAAGAATTTTAGATTTTCATATTGTTTTATTTTTGCACAAATGTTTTAGTTGAAAGTAAAATTGTAAGTATAGTGTAGGGTGGGTGTGTTGCACTTAAAGTAAACTCTGTAGATTGAGTTTTATGTATAGTATTGTTTGAGAAAATCTGTCAGCTCTTTCCTCATCTGCCCTTTAAAGGCATCTAGTGCACATTGTGAATAGGTGGAAATGCAGGAGGTCAAATTTCACTAACCTGTAGCAATCAAACAGCAATCATCACTCTAATAGGATAAAAGTTGAAATTGGATTAGTTACTATGATGATCATCATCATTTTAATTTGCAATGCCTAATTTAAGCCCACTGGTGAAACCACACTACCAATACACTTAACCTGGGATATTGGAACCACATGTCGTCCTAATGAATGATTAAAGCAGCCTTTGAACAATTGTATTTCATACCCTCCAAATGTTTAGACATACACAGCCTTACTAGTTTAGAATAGATTGGGGAAGCATTGGAGCCCCTTTCAGGTTTTTATTGCTGCCTGTGATCCTGTTGGGGATTTCTAACCTTACTAATTTTAAGGGAGCATCCAGAATGTTATGGTAATGCCTAGGGCTGCCACCTCATCCCTTTAAAACCGAACACATATTAATTACACAGGTTCTGTGGCTGATTAGGGTGGTAATTAAACTCACTTAGTGCCTTATCTGCATTAATGTAGCCTCAGAACCTGTGTAATTAATATGTGCTCAGTTTTAAGGGGAAGAGTTGGCAACCCCATTATCACCAGAATAGGATAGAGGAGATATCTTCCAGTGGGAAGTCTTGTTCCAATGATAACTGTCAGAGTTTGGAATGTCCCTTAAATTTGTACATAATTAACCCTCTCAGGTCAGGAAGTGTAGGGATATCTCTCAAAAAGGTACCCTATGTGATTGATTTACTAAAGGCTAGAAGACAGTGCACTTTGCAAGTCCAGATGCTCCAGAGCTTAGTAAATTAAGTAAAGTTTAACTGTGCAAAGAATACCCAATCACATGCAAGAACAAAAAAAAGCAACATTTTTGCCTGCACATGATTGGATGATGGAAGTTAACAGAGCTTCGCCTCTTCAATGGCTGTTCCCATTTCCTAACCTGACAGATAACATTTAAGTGCACATGGTGTTATGCGAGGTGTGAAATTGTTAATATGTCCACTGTATTAATTTTTCTTTAGGACATACGGGGGGGGAGATTTACTAAAACTGGAGCACCCAGAATCTGGTGCAGCTGTGCATAGTAACCAATCAGCTCCTAACTTCAGCTTGTTCAATTAAGCTTTGACAATAAGCCCTGGTTCACACTGAATGCGGCTTTGAAATCAGGGAACTTGACTTGAAGTAGAGCGATTTCAAAGCCACTGTTCAGTGAAATTTCTTGGGCAGCTTACCTGACATCTGTGCAACTTCATGCACAGGTGTCTTTTCTAGTCGCACATGAAATCGTCAAAAATAGCGAAGGAATCTTTTTTCAAAGTCAGTGTCGCACCGCAAAGTCAGAGCACCAATTTGAATGGTTCCATAGGCATAAATAGGGTGTGACTTGAAACTGTCAAATCGCATGACAAGTCGCATTAGGGTGAACCAGGGCTTAACTATCTATAAAACTGGGTATACAGGCTAATAAGCCAGTTTAGCAGGAATTAGCCAACATTTGGACCACGTGTACAACTGTCCTTCCGACAGAAGCCGATCTAAGGGCTGGCTTTTGCCGAAGAGACATGCTGGAAAACCAGCATTCAATCAGCGCTCGCAGTGCTGATTAGTGTATTCTAGGGGGGTCCTCCAATCAAAACACAAAGGCACAGCAGGAGAGATCGCTGCACTAACATCACTTATTTAGTACAGAAATCTCTTAGTCCACTTGGTTGAATGAAAAAAAAAATGAATCTGTGTACCAGGCATAAGGGTGAGTGTCGAGATATCAGTTATCCAACAAAAACTAGCCAGTGATATACAACAGTACCACATGGTCATCGTCAAGCTTCTTTATTAAAACTGTGCAGAATTTCCAAAAAGTCAAAGTGGACCATTTACCCCTTTCACTAAAAAATCACATCAGCATACAGCTCTGCATGCTGATATGAAATCATCTTCCATTAATTAGTTAAGCAAACATTTTTGTTTTTTTTCCACTTTCTGGTTGAGTGAGGCACTGGTGATGTAACTCATAAAGGCAGACAGTAACAATGGCCACTGTAAGAAGAATGGTAAGGAAAAGAAAAATAAGGTATGCAAAGAATAAAAAGCCAGTAATTATCTATAAGCAGGGTGGATAAAAATCAATAATTTTTTTTTTAAAAAATCAAAAAAATCAGATTTTTTTAATTTAAATCGGATTTTTTTGATTTAAATCAGATTTTTTTAAATAAAATGCTTTTTGAGGAAAATATATTACCATCCAAAGGTTATTCCATCATGAAATAAAGATTAGTTTTTTAATTATGTAGAATAAGGCTGTATATGTTTAATTTTTTGGGTAAATAAATTCCATTAATCCATTCACAATGTCATGCTCTTCCAGAGGTTTTTGTAAGATTATTGGGCAGTTTCTCTGCCTACAAGATATTATCACAGATGCTTGGTTTACTTTTGCAGTTCTCAAAACTGAATTTGACTCAGCGGAGATCACATGCCTCTTCTTCACAGCAAAAATGTTATAACATGAACAGAGTTAAGAAAAAGACCTTAATCCTAACTTCTACAAACCTATGAATACAGAATCAACCCCTTCAGTGCTAAGTTTCAAGAAGTTCAGTGAATAGAATAGGAACAATAGTTTTCTGATTGTTTGGAGTGGAATAGATCTGCACAAGAAGAAACTGAAACTAAGTGTGAGGAGGAAGGGGCTGACAGTCTAAGTTTCTTAAAATATATATATTTTGTTTAGCCAAATTAGTTACCAAACATGGATGTTTGTTTCAGCAAATAACATATGCTGTAATGTTATTGTTTCAGTTGAATAAATCTATTTAAATTGTTATTATTAAGGTAATGATTATTTTTCTCCTTCCTAAGTACAACAGAAAAGTTGTCCAAATATGAATGATTAACCTATTAAACTGGGGATAAAAAAACTAATATGAAAAGTTGTTATTCTAAAAATCTTCATCTACTTGCATATTAAAGTTATACCAGCAAGAATTAGTCTATGTAGAAAACTATGATTTAAATCAAGCCTTACTGACTAGTGATTTAAATCGTGATTTATATCGTGATTTAAATCAGTTTGATTTAAATCAAATCCACCCTGTCTATAAGTATCCATTTGTAGATTGCCATTACTAAACGTTTCTAAAGGTGCCTGTGCTGTAATTTTTATTCATGTCATGTTTGGTGGAGTTTCATGACTGAAAAAAAGGTATATTGAGAATTGGGCTCTCAAAGAAGATAGAAAAGATACTGCTTATCATTGACTTATTGTACAAATACATAAATAAGCCTAAAAAGGGAAAATAAATGTATCGCGATTCCTGTGTATCCAGCGCAGTGCAAATTCTACATTGTGTGAGGGAGATAATAGCAAAGTTTAGAAGGAAAGAATTTAACGGATTTAATGATTATATATATTGGCACATTTTAGGAGGACTTAGGATCAGAAGTCGATGCCAGAGGACATCGTCCACTTCAACCTGGGCAAAAAGCAGCTCCCACCCGAAGACCTCCTCCACCTCCTGTAAGTGGAGGTGGCTACAGACCACGTCCCACCAAGCCTCCAGCAAAAGGACAGAAGAAGGAAGCCATCGTATATCCTGATGAAGGAGGCTGTAAACATGCTTATGAAGAATTGGTAAGAATGTATTATGCATCAGAGCTTACAAAGAAATATAAAGATGAATGAAAAGCTAACTGTTATAGGATCCTTAAAAAAACACAACAATCTTTCAAAAATAATTATCCTTATAATGGGAAGGGGGAGCTATATCTGATAACAAGACAACAGTTCTACGGAGTAAGTCACCAAGGGGGAGCCTATAGTTAGGTAGTTTGGCAACTTTTCCTTTATACGTAATGGTCTGTTATATCTTTGGTCTACAGGGAGTATTATGTCCAACTGGTTGTGAACTTCGGAATGCAATTCTGAAACAAGAGAAGACAGTGAAAGATGCCCTGACTGCAGTACGTCCCAAAGTGGAATCACTTTCACACTCTTCAACAAATATCTACAAGTATGCTTCACTACTTGGAGACAAAGTGAAGGAAAGACAGGAGAACAATCAAAGTAATTCACATTGCACATAATTCTTTGTTTGTGCCACTGCAAGATTGAAACACAAAGCAAATGTGTGGCTTTTTGTAAAATGAGTTTTTTTTATTTATTGAGCTTTTATATTTTTGTAGTTTCCCTTTTTTAAATATTATATCATTGCAGATTTTTCTTCCATGTTTGTGTCTGAATTCACTAAAATGCATACATTTGCATGAAAAACATAGCAATGCCTGGAAATTATTTAAAAAGCTTTAAATATGAATCTTAGTATTTTTTACACAAGCAATGGGAAAAATAATAGACAACCACAAATATGCTAAAATTTTAGTTTGAGCTAGAATGTTTTTTTTATCATTGATAGTTTAACAGTGGCATCTTTCTTTTTCAGATAATCAGAATGTTATAAATGAATACAGTGTAGATCTTGAGGAGCAGTACACTTACATCAAAGAAAATCTGGACAACAACATCCCATCCAACCTTCGTATTCTCCGCCAGGTGTTGGAAAACCTGCGTTCTAAAATCCAGAAACTGGAAGCCACTATATCCACCCAGGTTGAAAACTGCAAGTCTCCATGTGCTTCATCATGCAATATTCCAGTGGTATCTGGCAAAGGTATAGCCTATTTCTTCACATAATGTTATCCTACTGCAGAATATCTGAGGAGATTAGTAAAGTGAATGTAGAGGTAATAGCATTTAGTTTTTTAAAATCGGAGCCCCACCAAAAAGGGGAAGTTCTGTTGCCAGGGACACAGGATGGCCAGTGAACTGAGCTGCGGTGAGAACACCACTGGATCGTAGGACAGGCAAGTGTTTTTTTTTTTTTTAAGTCAGCAGCTCCTCTTTAAGGTTTTAGATTTCATGACCAATTATTTTTTCTTAGATAATTTAAAGTATACCTGCAAATTAGTGATGCGCATAATGAAATGCTTTTATAGCATATATCAAGGTAAACAAATAAAATTGCTGTACATATCTGCAATATATGCACATTTCCCATGTTTAATCCTATTAAAGGCACTGCAAGTACAAAAAAAGCCTTTTTATCTGCCAGAAATGCACTCAGCTTCTAAGTCCTGTTTTGGGCTGACAACATATAGCTTTTTTTGTCACTCCTACATACCTTCAGATCTCCACAACACAAAGGCTAATTATTCTGTAGTCCAAGATAATAATTAGGAGGGCTCTTTGAGATAACAAAGGAAGAGTAGAGAGGATACGTGATAGCTCTGAATTACTGTCAACTATTTTTTTTTTTTTTTTTTGCACTGATCAAACAGATATAACAAAATGCTTCCAATGCAGTAATAAAATAGAATTCCAGTCAAATACTAACTAAGCCTAAAGCTTCAAACGCACAATGAAAATATCAGATGAATGATTGTCCATTTTTATTGCATGCCAGTCTCATATCAAAAATGAATAAGTTACTAAAGTTCCAAAAAGACTGCTAAGACAGACTACAACTTCATAAGTGATGTAATGTATTGTATTCAGGGGCGGACTGACAACTCATGGGGCCCCCGGGCAATAGGGGACCATGGGGCCCCTGTGTCCTTGCCCACACTCAAACCACACCCAAAAAAGCCTATGAAAAGGTACCAGGGGCATTTCATGGGGCCCCCTTCTGACCCTGGGCCCTCGGGCAGTGCCCGAGTTCCCAAATGGTCAGTCCGCCCCTGATTGTATTGTACTGTAATGTATTCTTTCGTTTCTGAGCATGCGTGGTCTTGGTCACTCAATTTTTTACGGACGAATACTGTACTGATTAAACAAAAATAGTTAATTCTGTTATTATACAAGAAACATTTTCATGCTTGTCCCTTCAGATATTTTCACTTGAACTGTCATGATCGGCTCTCGAAAGCTGTGTACCAATGATCAGATTATCGGACGATCCTTCTGAAAGCTATTTTTTTGTCTAATATTCTCATCATGTGTACAAGGCTTAAACCTACTCCCATTCTCATTATGTGCCTATTCTATCTATTCTGTAAAGGAAATAAGTTTACACTTACCTATTCTGAGGGCACTCTGGTCCAGTCTCATGATCGGGTTCCAGTGCCAGCTTCAGTGTAGAGGAGGGACAGCCAACAACAGATGCCCCATAGATAGTCTATGGGTGATGTCATCGCCCAGGCTCTGCAACCATTGTCAGCAATCTCTCCTCTTCACTGAATCTGGCCACTGGAGAGATCATGTGAACAGACTGGAGCACCCTCAGCATAGGTAAGTTTAGACTTCTTTCCTTTATAGGATAGTTAGAATAGGCTTAGAATGGGGTGGGAGTAGATTTAGGCTTAGTTAGTATTTGCTTCCTTTGCTGTTCTTCTGTCAATCACAAACTAAATGTACATATATTATTGCAGAGTGCGAAGAAATCTACAGAAAGGGTGGAGAGACATCAGAGATGTACCTCATTCAACCAGATGGAATGTTCCGACCATTCAAGGTTTATTGTGACATGACCACACAAGATGGCGGTAAGAAGCTAAAAGTGTATTGGTTGTACTATAATGGCATATTTAATACAAAGTTTGTAGTTTGTTATTATGTACATAAAGCTGCAACAGAGCACAAGGGAAAACGAACAAATTATAGTACATATAAAGCCTTGCACTACAAATTATTATGGACTACTACACAGTTAGTAAAGCATGATCACAGCAGATATGGCACGCAGGTTCTGGTATGTAAGTACGCGCTAAAGCCACGAGTGCACAGCACTTCTTAGATACCATGGGTCTATATGTCCCATTATGCAGCAAGGGCCTGCATTCAATCTGTGATGAGTAGACTGGTTTCTTTTGTTGGGACACAGCTTGGGTATGCCAGCACACTATGTATCAGCATGTCAACCTGTAGTTCTTCTCTGGAGAGCTACAGAGAAGAACAACACCATTCCTACAATGAGAGGCTCATGCCTACAAAAGAACATGTTGATGAAGGTTTTTGCCTGGCAGAATAACCAGATATAATTAAACACAAAGACTCTACTATATATTAAAAAACAAGGGCATCAAAAGGTTTAGCGGAAGGGAGGCATGCATATATTAAATTTAACTTTTGGGTTTTCACACACTGTAAATTTCCCAACAGCCCATGCTCTCTGTCCACTGCTTATATGTGATTGGCTTTCTGGAACTCATTCCCCTTTCAACCCACATGACAGTGCTAGAGTTTGGTGATTGTCACAGCACTGTCACATGGGAATGGGGGGGGATTCATCAGCCCTGTATATTCTCCTACTCACTGCTTGGACCTTACACAGTGTTTTGTCCCTTCTCTCTAAGTGACTAAATGGAGAACCAAGGGAGTGAGTATATACTGCAGGGAGGGAAGATAAGTGAATTTCTTGCCTTGCCATGTATAGGCAATGCGTGGATTCACTTTAAGTCACTTGAACCACTTTTTAATATCAGTGTTATCCTGTTCCTAGTATATCTCAATACATGTTCTGTAGATTATTGGAAGCACGTAGAAAAGCCACAAGTGTGTCATATATTAAATGCTCAATAAATTTAATTTATGCAATATTTTAGGATGGACTATGATCCAGAATAGACAAGATGGCAGTGTTGGTTTTGGTAGAACATGGGATGTCTACAAGAGTGGATTTGGAAATATTGCTCGTGATGGCGGAAAAGGAATCTGTGACATGCCAGGTATGCTTCATTTAGATACATTTCAAGTTTTTCCAAAAACTGAGGACATCTATTTTACTCTCAATATGCACAGCTTGGGATAAGCAATCAATCGACCCAAACGGAATTGCAGCTGAACAATTAAATAGAGACAACTTTTTGTGAATATTTTGTGATATTTTCTAATCTAACTATGCTTTATTTAGAATATTTGGACTACCACTCAAAAAAAGAACTTAATATAGGTCTAAATATGGGCATTTATGCCAATGATGGCATAGCACACCTCGAAAGGCTGTGTGCTTTGACATCTTACGAAATGCACCACTGTTGGAGTTCCCCCTATTGCTAGCAAAGCCTTCAATCACAGTGTTTGTTGCAGTGATTGATTTATACTGATTTCAGGCTTCTTAGACAATAGACTTGGATTTTTGTTTACCCAGGGTTGATTAGTGTGGAGATTAGTGTGGTCATTAGCGTGGTGATTAATTATTGTTATCCTGATAATAGATCTCTTGGATTTTGAATCTATATAACACCACCTGAGTATATTATATTGTAAACATGTACTGTATCTTTTCATATTTTATGACTATATCTGTGACAAGGGCTTGTGCCAATGGCCTACTGTTTACATCAAAACTATACTCTACCCCCCCCCCCCCCAAACAAGCCTGTGGGAATACAAAAGCATCTATATTAGTATATATATTTTTGGCACTGCGCATTTTCTAAGAGAGTTTGATTGAATTTGGTATCACAAGTTTTTGTGTCAGCAGCTTACAAACCTTATAATCAAGCACAGAGATTGTCCTTTTTATTAGTCTATATTAGTAACCTTAAGTAGGGATTCTTTTTGGAATCCATGATTGTAGCTTTTGTACTGAGTGACTCTGGACTCATGGAACACTCACCTTTTTTAGTGTTACCCCATTGAATACATACTCTCTTTTGTGTGATAATTAATTCTAATTTACACATTAGTGAATAAGTACTGTTGAATACAAGGACATTTACATGTAGATATACTGTATATGCAAACATACAAAAACAAAAGATTTATGCATGCCTCAATTATTGACAAATAAATATCGAGATGAACTAAGGATGATTTACTAAAGTTGAGAATATTTTTTTTCATTTATGCACAGTTATGAACTTTTTGGAGCTATGAGTAGCAGATCCGTCTAAACCCCTTTAAGATTAAGTTTGTTTATTTAAGCTACACCAGAACACTGCATTGGGTACTGTTTATATTCATACTAAACCTTTTTGCTTTCTTAGGTGAATTCTGGCTGGGTAATGACAAGATTAGCCAGCTTACTAATATTGGACCCACTGAAGCTTTAATTGAAATGGAAGACTGGAAAGGCCAAAAAGTATTTGCTCAATACACCGCTTTCACTGTACAAAATGAGGCAAATAAATATCAGCTTTCTGTCAGTGGCTACAAAGGAAATGCAGGCAATGCACTTCTAGAAGGGGCATCACAACTGAAAGGAGAAAACAAAACCATGACAATACACAATGGCATGTACTTCAGCACATATGACAGAGACAACGATGGATGGTATATATCAAGTTCTTGTTCTTTTACAGTTTGTGTATATTTATATGGCTCTGACATGTAATGCATTGCTTTACAGACTATGTTGGACCAATCATATCAGCCTGTACATTGAGCTTACAGTTTATTTTCACCCTAATATAAACAGAACTAAATACACTCTAGGGCCAGTCTGGTCAGGAGAAAGAAACCGTTACATTATTTTTTGGGATTTGGTACCTGAATAGAACAGCAATACAAAGAGAATCAATGATGTGAATATAACTAATGACCTCCATTTTTGCAAGGCCACAATGCTAAACAGTATTGGCCTCCGTGACAACTCTAATGTCTTTAAATCTTGTTCAGATAGTTGTATTTAACTGTTAGTAATCTATACTTTTTTATCTCTAGGTTAACTGCAGATCCCAACAAACAGTGTTCTAAAGAAGATGGTGGTGGATGGTGGTACAATAGATGCCACTCCGCTAACCCCAATGGCAGATATTACTGGGGTGGTCATTACACATTTGATATGACAAAACATGGAACAGATGATGGTGTGGTATGGATGAACTGGTTGGGTTCTTGGTACTCAATGAAGAGGATGAGCATGAAGATCAGACCATTCTTCAGTTAATAGAAGTCCTAAGTGGGAAGAAATAAAGCCTAAGAATTACCAATGTGCTTCAAAAACTCATGGATCAACTTCAAGTGGCTTACACTGTTGATAATAATATACGCAGCATTGCAGTGAAAACCTAAAGTGAACACAAGGCATCTTTGTTACCTTCAAGAGACATGCATAGCAGGTTACTATGATATATATTTATGAAAGTGCAATAGTCTTATATACTGTATACGATACTGTGGGAACAATTAAAAAAAATGGAGCAAAGAATGCTGTTGCAAATTTGGAGTAATTATCCACAATGACCAGTCAAATAACTTGCTACATCGAGAGGTAAAAGCTGACTAGTTGCTACCCATGGCTGCTCCACTTTTTGCTAGTTTTTGTTAATCTGCCTCTGAGTGTTGCATGAAAATGAAATAACATACTCCATCGTAAATCCATCATTGTGACTAAACTTTATAAAACATGCTGTTATGTTGATGTCAATATTGAACTGCATAACAATAAAGCCACTGAAGAAATCTCTGAATCCATTACGTTTGTTAAAAAAAAAATATTATGTAGTCAGTTATTTGTAAAATCATGTAGAGTGATACATTGGTTCATGAACTTAATTCATTCCCATAGGGTTCAATGTAAATCAGGTTAATCTGTTTTGACCCCTACGAACGTGGTCGTGAACCAAATTTGGTCTTCAACGGAATCAAATTTTCCCATAAGGTTCAATGTAAATAAAGTTGTCCATTCTGAACTTTTTTTCTTTGTTGTTTTTGAACCACAAAAATATGAAACAAAGTACAGTATAGTACAGTATGAAGAGAGAGAACACTAACCTTGCTTGAGACGACTTCTGGCATGTAGGACAGGGAGGTGGGTAGGAGGCAGTTATTGATCAGAGGGAGAATTCCCCTCCATAAGGACATTGGAGAGATCTCCTGCAGGGGTTTCCTTTCTTCTTTGTCTCTTGCAGTTTTGGTGAAAAATCTGTCCAATGTCACTTGTCTTTTCCTGCGCTGCATAACTCTCCAGAAATGAGAAACCACATTATCGTTCATCAGATTCAATACTCTGTTCGCTACACTTATGTTGGGGTGGTACTTCTCAAAAAAATCATGGCACGCATTCCATTTCTCCATAATGGGTTGCACTTTCTTGTCACCTTCATTACCGCTCTGCACATTCTTGTCACCTTCATTACAGATCTGCACGTTCTTGTCACCTTCATTACCGATCTGCACGTTCTTGTCACCTTCATTACCGATCTGCACGTTCCTGTCACCTTCATTACAGATCTGCACGTTCTTGTCACCTTCATTACCGATCTGCACGTTCTTGTCACCTTCATTACCGTTCTGCACGTTCTTGTCACCTTCATTACCGTTCTGCACGTTCTTGTCACCTTCATTACCGATCTGCACGTTCTTGTCACCTTCATTACCGCTCTGCAAATTCTTGTCTCCTTCATTACTGCTTTGCACATTCTTTTCTCCTTCATTACTGCCTTGCACTTTCTTTTTACTGCCATGCTTGGTCTGCACATTCTTGTCACCTTCATTACCACTCTGCACATTCTTGTCACCTTCATTACTGATCTGCACGTTCTTGTCACCTTCATTACCACTCTGCACATTCTTGTCACCTTCATTACCTCTCTGCACGTTCTTGTCACCTTCATTACCGCTCTGCAAATTCTTGTCTCCTTCATTACCGCTTTGCACATTCTTTTCTCCTTCATTACCGCTTTGCACTTTCTTTTTACTGCCATGCTTGCTCTGCACATTCTTGTCACCTTCAATACCACTCTGCACATTCTTGTCACCTTCATTACCGTTCCACACTTTCTTCTTACTACCATGCTTGCTCTGAATTTTCTTTGGAGCCATACTGGATGTCCTGTACAGTATGTGCTAAAAAGCACAAAAAAAAGGTTTACAGCAATTGTGCACAGGGATGTACAATACAGTACTGCACAGTATATGCTAAAAAGCACACCAAAAAGCTTCTCAGTACTGTAAGTGTCTTCACAGTACACTTTCAGTGTCTGTCTGTGACCGTGATATTGCCTACCGGAAGTAACGACCACGTGTCAGAGCAGGGAAGATGGCTGCGGCTCGTGTTCATCAACCGAAGTGGAGTTCGCAAACCGAAGCTAATTTTTGTGAACTCTTCTGTTCGCAATCTGAGTTGTTAGTGAACAGAAGCGTTTGTGAACTGAGGTATCACTGTATCTCAAGAATATGTAAAGCTTTTTTGTGCTGATTGCATATGTGTACATTATTTGGTGTTTTTCATAGCTTTTGGGATAAGTCTCTGTGTTTCCTGACAGCAGCAATTTTCCTTCCAACTCTAGTTTCACAATGCAGTTTTGAAAATGAACATATATGGGGATTGACAGAGTTCCTACTTCACTTTTGTAAACATATACATGTATTAAATACATTTAGCTGTGATCACATTGTACAATAGTAAGTGCCTGCAGAAGGACTGAATAGGAATATGGGTCCACTATCCTTCAACCATTGCATGACCACTTCTGGTATGTTCTTCTTCTCAGTGTGCTTTTCAACACCAGCATGAAAGCTCCTTCCCTTTCTCCTAAATCATACTCTCTGGCTACCTCCCATTGCTATTTTTTTCATTTAGAGGATATATATAACAGCTGTAGAAAGAACCAAAGGTTTGAACATTTTAGGATAAGTGAAGATAATGTTTTAAAGTTGTCTTAAAGCAGTACTAAACCCCAAACTAAAAATTGCAGGTTACCAATAATCAGATGTGGTTACACATTCATTTCCTTTTTTAGGCTTTTTTCCTGTTTTCACCTTGTGATATGGCCAGTAACACACTTTCTGTATTAGAGTGCTTCCACTCTGGGTGAAGGAGCACAGGGGGCACCTTTGAATAGCTGAACTGTCAGTATGGGGAATGAGAGGGTGTGATAGTGTTAGATTCACTAACAGATTTAGGTACACTAACAAAATGAAGCCAAACTAATACTTTATAAGCAGTTAGCAAACAGGTTTTGTTTCCTTTTGGGGCAAAGGTTTTACATAAATAAATAAAAACTGATCATTAAAAGCACTGTTGTCAGTGTTAAATAGGTTGTCTCATCCCTGTAACTGATACATCTGTAGGACAGCATGATCTTTTGAAAAACAACATACTTACTGGCTGGATGACCAGGTGAAAATAAAGGAAGGAAAACCTAAAAAATAAAACTAATGCCGCCAACATCTAAGAATTGGTGAGCTGCAATATGGCAAATGTTTGTTTCTGGGTTTAATACCCCTTTAACCATATTTCAACACCACATGAAGTAGAATATGGAACCTTTACTCTGTACCATCTGAGCTTCTATTAATATTTAATTCTTTAATCTATGACACAGATGTCCTTTTTATGTAACTTTAATATTGGTCACAAGTAATGTCACATCAACAGACACCCTCCGGTGTTGCATGAGTGCATGTGTTTTTGAAAGAGACTTTCTAAACAAAGGGTCTGTTTATTGTTCTTCAGACATTAGTGGGGCAGGATTGTGGCCCGTGGCAGTTGAAAATGTTCCAGCATCATTGGAAGTAATCAAATACTCAGGCTTGGTGCTCAGTGAGACTAAAAAATATTATATAACACCTATGGTCAGTAGGATGAGGAATAGTGCCCCATCCTTGGTATTAGTGGGAGGAATAGTGTTCTACTACTAGAGTCAGCAAAAGAAATGGTGTCTCCTTGTTGGTGTCAGTTGGAGGAATAGTGCCTCACTGCTGGTGTCGGCAAAAGAAATGGTGTCTCCTTGTTGGTGTTAGTGGGAGGAATAGTGCCTCACTGCTGGTGTCGGCAAAAGAAATGGTTTCTCCTTGTTGGTGTTAGTGGGAGGAATAGTGCCTCACTGCTGGTGTCGGCAAAATAAATGGTCTCTCATTGTTGGTGTCAGTGAGAGGAATAGTGCCTCACTGCTGGCGTCGGCAAAATAAATGGTGTCTCCTTGTTGGTGTCAGTGAGAGGAATAGTGCCTCACTGCTGGTGTCGGCAACATAAATGGTGTCTCCTTGTTGGTGTCAGTGAGAGAAATAGTGCCTCACTGCTGGTGTCGGCAAAATAAATGGTGTCTCCTTGTTGGTGTCAGTGAGAGGAATAGTGACTCACTGCTGGTGTCGGTGAAATAAATGGTGTCTCCTTGTTGGTGTCAGTGGGAGGAATAGTGCCTCACTGCTGGTGTCGGCAAAAGAAATGGTGTCTCCTTGTTGGTGTCAGTGGGAGGAATAGTGCCTCACTGCTGGTGTCGGCAAAAGAAATGGTGTCTCCTTGTTGGTGTCAGTGGGAGGAATAGTGCCTCACTGCTGGTGTCGGCAAAATAAATGGTGTCTCATTGTTGGTGTCAGTGGGAGGAATAGTGCCTTACTGCTGGTATTGGCAAAAGAAATGGTGTCTCCTTGTTGGTGTCAGTGGGAGGAATAGTGCCTCACTGCTGGCGTCGGCAAAATAAATGGTGTCTCATTGTTGGTGTCAGTGAGAGGAATAGTGCCTCACTGCTGGCGTCGGCAAAATAAATGGTCTCTCATTGTTGGTGTCAGTGAGAGGAATAGTGCCTCACTGCTGGCGTCGGCAAAATAAATGGTGTCTCCTTGTTGGTGTCAGTGAGAGGAATAGTGCCTCACTGCTGGTGTCGGCAACATAAATGGTGTCTCCTTGTTGGTGTCAGTGAGAGAAATAGTGCCTCACTGCTGGTGTCGGCAAAATAAATGGTGTCTCCTTGTTGGTGTCAGTGAGAGGAATAGTGACTCACTGCTAGTGTCGGTAAAATAAATGGTGTCTCCTTGTTGGTGTCAGTGGGAGGAATAGTGCCTCACTGCTGGTGTCGGCAAAAGAAATGGTGTCTCCTTGTTGGTGTCAGTGGGAGGAATAGTGCCTCACTGCTGGTGTCAGCAAAATAAATGGTGTCTCATTGTTGGTGTCAGTGGGAGGAATAGTGCCTTACTGCTGGTGTTGGCAAAATAAATGGTGTC